GCCAATCGGCCTGCCATATGGAGAGAACATTCTTGGCCATACATACGCCACTTACAAATACTTACAGCCTAACGATATTTGTATTCACATTTATGGCGTCCTTAATAGACCACATACATTTAGCCAACTTAATGGCATGAAAATCAAGTATGTTTCCTCTTAATAATTGTGCCGAAAAGTTTATGCGCCGCCGCCTTGCAAGACAATGAACCGGCAAATGCATCATAAGTTTAGTTTATTGTTGTTATTGTTTAGTCTTTGTTGCTAAGCGCTCAAGTGGGTGGGTGTGCTGTGTGTTGTTGGCTCGCTTATTAGGTACTTGTTGGTGTTGTTGTTTTGTTTGTTGGCGCGACGTTGGCGTTGTGTTGTACTTGAGTAGATATTTGGGTTTTATTGCTGGCACACACACCTACATACAAACGAGTACACAAATACACCTAGAGACAGACATTCGTTATTACATTTCCTGGTTTTAATGGAACTACTTGAGCGCACGATATGCGATTTTGGCCACAAAAAAAAAAGGAAGAGAGTAAAAAAAAATTGCAGAAGTCGGCTCTAGAATGCTATGATAAATTGGCGCAGTCTTATACAGTGGTGTGCTGAACAAATGCAGTCTTTTGTGGCAAGATTTTTTTGTTCAAAAATTCTAAAGAATTTAGACGTAAATGAGTTGTTGGGACACAGATATCTTCTGTGTTAACCTGTACCCTCACAGTGTCATCATTAGAATAATTTGTGTTAATTGGTTTAGAAGACAAAGATAGTAGACAAAACTATTAACCACATTCTAGCGCTACCGCAAGTTTAAGGAAAAGTTATGGCTAACATGTCTTCACCTATTTTCTCCTACGTTTTAACATTTGCTCTCTTTCACTTTACCACGGAATATTAGATGATCTCTTTTCCATTTTTAGAAGTCGAAAACACCAATGCACCAATTTCCGCCATAGTGGCAGCACAGTGCCTTGAGTTATGTCAGAGGCCCTCCAGAATTCATAAATTTTCTGCCCAAAAGGAAGGTTTCCACAACCATAACCGATTAGTGAAGTGTTTAGCATATTAAGGTTGGTCGCCCATCACATTTGAGCTAGATGCGAATTATCAAAATTAAAATTCGGCGACACTGCTTTTGTCATGTCGCAGCACTGTAGCACACATGCGTTATATATATATGCATATCTAATGTAAATATGTTTGCCCATGCATCCATTGTCTGCAGAAATTTATTTTCTATGAGCGTGTCTATCTTTTCGCCTGCCAACCAGCGAATCACCGTGCTCTTCTTTAAATATACACACATATAAAAAACATATATATATATATATATAGATGTATATCCACTACTTGAGGCAAATCTCCAACAAGTGTATGCATAGAAATATTATATATACAGTCACATTAATATATGTATGTGCATATGTTTGTATGTATTATGTATCATAAGAGCATCACACGACATGCCAACCTAGTCACCTATTCGACTATTCCATTGTCTGTCTGTCTGTCTGTCTTCAGTATATTTGGCTGCTTCGTTCAACTGTGTCCGCTCGCGTTTCCGTACACCCACTGCTCGCCTAAGCAATAGCGTGCACTGAGTTCTATAGCTACATACTTGTGTGTGTGTGAGTGTATATGTATGTGTATGTCTATATTTTTATTTCATTATACTAAATGTATTTGCCTCTGATTGTATTCGAAAGCATGCAGATACCGTTCATACATTGAATGTTTTATTATCGTACGTGCAGTAATGAGCGAACATACATACACACACATACACACACAAATTCAAGCATGAAAATTTTGAAATGCTCAAACATTGTCGTTTGTTGGTATTTAAATTAAGGATTTCATTGCTTCTTTTGCAAAGATAACAGTTAGTAGACCAATAATTGTAATGCCAAAAACAAGAATAAAAACAAAAATAATGAAGCTCTTTACTCCTTTTGAGGCATATCCTTAGGAATGTGCGATGGTTATTTGTTAAAGTCGTTTAGAAAGTATGCAGTGTGCATGTATGTGTGTGTGTATATAAGTAAGTTTTGTATGAAAAGCAGGCAAAAGGGCTTCATATATATTCATAAAATTATATAGGTGAATAGTAACTGAGTGCTTATGTACGAGAGTTAAAATTTTCTTGCGTTCCAAGCCTAAATGGAACTCGGTCGGTATTAACTGTTTTGTCATCTAATATAAGCATTATAATTGTACTTATTAACCATAATTGTCGACTGAGGAAATTTTGAAAAATTAAAAGCGAAAAACAAATGTAATACCCTTCACAAATAAAAACAGGCAAGGAAGAGCTATGTTCGAGTGTAACCGAATATTTTATACTCTTGCAACTTGCCAGAATTAAAGCTGGGGAAATTTCTTTCAGTTGTAAGCAAAACTTTATTTTACAAATGCTTTCTGAGTTGCAGTAAGGTACCTCACATACCATCACCAATATATAAGGAGTAAAGTCAACTAGATGTTTGAAAATCCTGATATTATTCATTCCCGATTTTATTCATTTTAGGCACAAAGATGCACCGTTACATGAAAAACACCTTCTCTCAATTATATTAAGATAACTCACATATTGGCCGATATATGTATACCACTCTATAAGTTATATGCAGGCTAAGAGAATTATTGATCCGATTCAACAAATTCCTGACTTTTTATTCGAAAAGGCTTTACGAATTTCTATAATATAATAATAATATAATATAATTTAATGTTAGAAATGCTCATACTTTCTGAAGTATATTCTCAATATGCGGTCTCCTGGCAACCACTTGCTGTGTTAAAGCATGTTGATACACTTTCAATGTTAAGAAATAAGAATTGAATGAGTAGGCCACCTAACAATCAAACAAAGATCCTGAGGATTCTTTTCCTTTTGTGAATACAAATTTCCAAAATTTGGTCTGAGTAGATCGGTTCAAATTTGAGGCTCTTTTAATATAGAAAAAATATTTATTTTTTTTATTAAAAATGTCACTATCATTCATATGATCCCTTTTACTATTTGCTTACTGTCTTACTTTGATGCTCCGTTATTGTTTGTCGGTTACTTAAACGCCACGATTGTGTTATTTGTTTGGTCGCTGTTGCGTCGTATCGACGGTGTCTGCCATAATCTTCAAGCGCTGATGAGCTTGCTAATAGTTTATTATGACTTCTGAGCCGAGCAGCTGGTGAAGCGTTGGTCTATACTCCCCTACTTCGCAGCTTTATTATTTCACTTTTGTACCGACATGCCTATTCCATATTTCACGGCTTCAAAGTGGCGCTATTTGTCTCGCCCAGTTGATATTTATTTGTTTTGTTTAATTTTATTTGCTAATTTGCATTTATGAGGGAGTGTATAAAACATTTATTACTTTTAATCTAATTGCGCTGGTATTATCGTTCTAGCCACATTCGCTGGCAAGCGAAAGACACTAAGCACTTGGCGCCTACTACCATAAATAAAGCTACTAATTACATACTTGTTAATCTCTGTTTATGGCGGAGTGTAATGGCCTCTCAAGTGTGCCAGTCATTTGGAGTAATGTCTTTTTTGTTGTTGTGCAAATAACATTAATTTGGGGATGAGAAGAATATTCGAGGCAATATTTTTCTGTGTTAATTGGTAATGATATGAAATAGTTGCTTAAATAAGAGTAAAATTATTTGTTTATATGTCTACAAAAAATTTAGGTGAAATTAACAGCACGGAGGCTTCCTACAAATTTCTGAGATCCAATCTCTAACGAGTTTGCTAAAGAATGTAAATCTATGTCTGTCGACGGTATATAATATTGTAAGTTTCTTTCACGTAATTCTCTAAATTTCAAGCTACTAGCTGTCAGGTAGAAGCAGACGCTCTGGAAAGCAGCCACGTGCGATTCTAATTCTTTCTTTGATAAAAGATGTGGCTGACTTTGTGTGCATTGCAGAAGAGTAGAGCGCGTTGAACTTACGAAATGATACTCCCTTCAGGCCATGGCTCCTAGCTTGCCCAGTATAATCATGCTACCAGTCACTACTTTAATATATATTGAATCTAATATCTAATAGCTCGATGCAGAGAATAAAATTATAAAGTCGTAAGAGGCTAAACATACGTTTAAAGCCTGATGGTAAAATCATGATTCAACCCAGTAGCTCAATATTGAACCATAAGCTAAAAAATCATGGCTGCCTCTGCTCTACACTCTAGTTTTACTCAAGACTGCTCTAAAATAAATTACCAGTCTCTAAGAAACAAATGAGGTCTCCCACGTGGCTCGATGTACAACTAGATTTGCCTAGACATTTGCGTTTGAAGACTCAGTTAAGCTATAGCTTTTCTGTTATTGCTATCTTCATTATTTGGTCTTTGGCTAGAATGAATCAGTTAAAGAGTCAAATTAAGACCCTTACAATATCGGGAAGCCAAAAAAATTACAAACTCACTGAAGAGAGAAATGAAATAGTGCAGTTCCTATAAGTACTTACTGAAAAGTTCGAGGAATAATCTGTAGACGGAAAAGTCAACAAAAAGATTTTGATTGCTCCTTGAATTTTATAAATTTTAGATAGTACGTGTTCGTTTATGAATATATCGGTATATGAATGTTCTGTGCCGCGATACAACCGGGCTTACACTCGATCGACCAACTGCCTCATACTGCATGAATCTGATTTCGAATTACCATTATTCTGAAACCTCAAGAAAGAAACCTACTAGACTGAGATCTATTTCAAAAAACAAAAAAAAAGACAAATCCTTCTACAAAAATGTATTCTTGTAGTGTTCTTTTCTTGGAAGTCAATTCAAGAGCAAACTGTTAGAGCTTTAGGTCTTCATTAAGAAGGCTTGCTGCGATTTTTAGGGCATCTCTTGTGTTGTAATCAGCATTATTAAGATCAACATAACCTCACTTTACACTCCTAGTTTGTTTGTTTTTGTTTTAGTGTTGTTGTATTGTATTGTTATTATATTTATAGGCATATTTTCCCCTTTTCCACTATTATATACATACATTTGTTTGCGTACCACTGCAAGTACTCCTGGAGCGTCTGACAGCCGTTGACTAATAAATCACTCAGTCACTTGTTGTCTTGCTTGGGGGAAAGTCCTACGCATGCACATATGTAGATATGTAGGTATTAGGTATATGGCGCTGTCTTCAACAGCAATGCAATGCAATCACTCACTCACTACGTAGCCGCGGGATATTTTTATTTTATTTTATTGAAGTTCATCAAATGAAATGGCGGAAATTTTTCAAGAAGATTTTGATTTGTTTTATATTTATTCTGTTTTATTTTGTTATGTGGTTGATTGAAATTCGGAATTTTTTTTGGTGAAATGCACAAGTTTTGTTGTTGTTTTATGTTTTTCTAGTATTGGTTTTTTTTATAAGTATTTTGCTTTTTTATAAGTTATTAATTATTATTTTTTTTAATTAGTTTTTTTTTAGTTTTTTTTTAGATTTTTTGTTCAATTTTTTAGTTTTTTGAAAATTTTATTTTTTTTTGATATTTTTTGTTCAATTTGCTATTGTTGTTTTTAATATTTTGTTGTATTTGTTTCTTATTGATTATTATTTTTTTAATTTAACGCTTTTGAACTCTTTCTTAAACAATTATTTAAATTTTTTTATGTTTTCGGATTTTTCTGTTTTTATTGTAGTTGATGTCTTTTGCTTATATCATACAATTTATTTTACAATTTTTTCTTTAGGATTTTAGTTTTAAATTTTTTTTATTGTATATTATTTTTCCTCTGTTGTTCTTTTTGTTTTCTTACACATCTCACTCACACGTTGCTTATACACATTTAACTGAGCTATATATTTATAATATTTCCTCTAAATAAATTTCATTTGTTTCTCTCGCCATAAATCTATAACCTACCGCGCTGCTTTTCACCGCTTCCTTCAATCACTCAGTCAGTCGCTTACTGTTCTAGATTTCCTAGCCAACTGCACTAGAGGAAATCAATGCCGCACTACCAGCAGCGCTAATCAAAATTCACTAATTTAACAATTATACACCTCTCACACACCGAATTATACACTCATTGCTGATTTGGAACTACAATAAAAAACTTTCGTGTTTTTGTAATTTTCTTCTTGCCTTTCTTCTGTTGCTACTAGCTACCGTTTCAAATTCACATGCAGTCTAAAAATATCCAATTATCAAAATTGTCCACAGCTATGCACTACGCCGCAACGCATTCTCATTGTAGCTGGGTATCTATCGCTCAGCGCGCATCCGAATATGCCCCACAACGTCGCATGGCATCAGAACGGTATTTTTATAACGCGCTCCCGAATAGCACAACAGACCGATAGCGATCAGTTAATACACGCGACACAATGTTTGCGCTTTATTTGTATGTGTGTTTAGCTGGCGCGCAAGTTCCTGCTGATGACGTTAACGCGTAGACGCGCTGCCTGTTGAGTAAATCTATCCACTGAATACGCTCAAATTATGCCATGTACACAATTTATATTTGTACCAAAAATATATTGAGCGTAAAGCTATCGCCACCACTGTGTGCTTACACATACTGCAGTTAAACGTATTGAACGCGCGCACGAGGAGTGCTTTCAATTTTGTGCGTCTAATAGCTGCGCGCGTCTAAAACATACTGAATGCGCCGCAATTCGCAGGGAAGTAGTAAGCCCACTGCAAGCACGAAAAGTGAACGCTTGACTGACTACTACTTCGCGGCGTCGCACTTTGTTAATATAGAGAACGCGCGCGCTGACTAACGCTGCTGTGATCACTAATTTTTGAATGAGCTACTTGGCGGCGCGTTGCCGAATCAAATTAAATTCGCATCAAGCTAATAAGTATATAGCTTTAAGTTAGTTGGGCGCGCTAACTCAAAATTACAAAGCGCGCAAGTGCCACTATGCCCGCTGTATACAACTTAATGCGGCGCAGGTTCAACAGCGACTGAACTGCCAGGAAAGGTGCGAGCGCGCACAAGCGTTCGGTTTGTATGCCACTTAACAGCGAGGCGTTTTGACTTTGACTTAAGTGTAGCCGTTATGGCATTCAAAAGCGGCCCACTCGCGCGCTAGCGTGGGTGTTTTGGTTTTGATCTTACGACGTTCGGCGCACGCAGGAGCGCGGTACAAGCAAGGTAAACCAGCTTATGAAGAAGTATATAAAATATAAAAAAATTTAAATAATTCAAATAAAACGAGCACTATTTGAGGGGGGCACTCAGCGATAGCGCGCATGTGCAGCCGTCCAACTTTGATTTCTATGAATGAATTTCGCTTGCGCGCACTACAAACAGCGCTTGTAGTAATGTAATCAAACATAACTATCAACTTACATATGTTTATATATACAAGTATACTCCTATTATGGGTGTTGCTGCATTGTCTCTTCTATATTGCTGATCGCCTGCAGTGTTTTGCTGTTAACACAAACTTATACAACGTGCAGTCAAGCATGGTAGTGGTAAAATGTCAGTGGCAACAACAAAACCATGATAACAGTTGCCCATAATCAAACTCTACACAAATAACAACAAAAACAACAAGTAGTGTATAGCGCGTAGTAGAATGCGATGAAGCCAATCAAAACCAGTTGAACCATGAATGCATGCGCTTCGCTTGAAAAGCACCATCACATTAGTATCGTCACCATCATCGCGCCAACAGCATCGTCATCATCGCTATCAATATACTGCTTACTCGTTTAATCAGTTTAGCACAGAAGCGCAGAATACAGTTCGAATTGAACCCATCGAACCATGGATATTCAACAGAAGTAAAAAAAAAAAAAATTCATAAAACAATGAAGTATCTCTGAAGGTTTTGATTTAAAGGGTTTTAAAGCGAGAAACTCTAAAAACGGCGGAAGACCTTTTTGTAGGTTAGATAAATAGATAGATAATAAATGAGGTTTGCACCGCGACTATTAGCAGCTGCTCTGGACCTTCCGGCTCCATATCGCAGAAATGGCAGTTTGCACAATAGGCTAAGCCCATGTTAAATAAGTGCTTCTTGAGCTTACAATCGCCAGTGTAGGATTAACTTTTGGTCTTCTGGCTTTGTGATTTCATATTATAATAGATATGAAAATGTATTGAACTTTACGGTAATTTGAAAACAAGTCTCCATTCCCCATCAAATGCCAACATAAAATTTTGGTGTTGTTTGAGGTTACCGTTTTTTGGACATTCCCATCAGGCAACAGCTGCAAAGTTAACAAACACGGATTGTCGTGCCTCTGGATCCAACAGAACTGTAGTGCTAAGTGAATTTCTGGGTGCTCGTGTAAGCTGATCTACCAGAATTCCATGAAAACTTCGATATTCATGTCACACTGTCTTCTTAAACCTAAAAATTCTTTTGCGGACAACCCAAACATTAAAGACACAGAAAACGTCATGTTGTATTTTTCCTGACTACTGTATATTTATCGAGCGATAGAAACACATGACAAGCGGAATGTTTCACTACCAAACTCCCATCTAACTTCAAATCATCATGAATAATCCCAAGTCGGAAGTTAATTAAGCCACTCTTTATCTTTGGAATCGAAAGGGACTTGGAAAAAGCCATACTAACTAAATTTAAATAAATCAAACTATTCCTACGTTGGATTTTAAAAGACACTTTCAGGGAGGTTACCCTCTAGATGTGAATCGAAAAAAGGTTTTGAAAGGGAGGAGGCTACCAGCTCAATCTATATAGGGGTATACTACAAGGATTTTGACAGCTCTCTCTCTCTCTCTCTCTCTCTCTGAATCCACCTACCAACTTCAGTCAGCATCTTTTAAGCGACCTACAAAATGATTAAGAGCATCAAATGGTTTGAACGCAATGATGAAACGATATAGTAACTTCATAAAGTGCGTCCAAATGGCGCATCTAGCGCTAATTTATCCGGGAGAAGCAGCACTAATACCTCCCGTTTATCTTTTTCCGCATATAGTATATATAACACGATAACATTATTTTATAATATCCACGAGAATACTCAACTTTTTTTTGATCTTTCTTAGGTACCCTCAAAAATAAGTATAACAATCAAATAAATTAGAAAACTTAGACTTTAATACATAAAATATATTTGGACCCATAATTCAAAGGCTAGAGATCTTTTTATTCAGTCTTGTTTACGACATAATTCACTACTTCATTATTATTAAGGTGTTATATCCAGTGGCAAGTCAGCATAAACTCGTTTTTTCTTGATTTTTTTTTGATATAAGTCATTTTATCTAACAAATAAATAAAATGCATGTACATTTACATAATTTATTTTTTTAATAATCGGTGGTTAATTTTGAAAATTTTGGATTGCCTTGATCGCGTAGTCCTTCAGGAGGACATCAGAAAAAAGATTTCTATTGGTGAAATTCAAATTCAAATTCAAAATGCAAATCGGTCCAACCGTTTCGGAAAAAATTTCCTCAGCGACTATGAAAACAACGTTTTGGGAAAAACGCGTTTAAGATTTTGAGAACCGATTACACTAAGTTAAGACACTCTTACGTATTTGCTCGTATCTCCGAAACTACTTGCCGGATAAACTTCAAAGGAGGATATATACATTCGATTTATAATATAAGAAAAATATCGATTTTTTTATATTTACAGGTGGATATATCCTCTTAATGTGTGGTTCTTTTTTCAAAAACCAGTTCCAATTTAGAAATAGATGCGATATATTAACATAGATGAAATGTGAAGATAAATCAATAATTATGTAAAATTTTTGAATATTTTATAAGATAATTTTATATATAATTTTTGCTTACTGGGTAACTACTTTTCATCAGTGACTTCACGCAATGAGACTGCAATTTAATTAATTTGTTTTCTATTGATTCATTTAACCTTTGCAGATTAGAGCCATTACAGAAATGCTTGCGTCCGTTTTATGAAGTCAATTTGACAGTTGGCTGCGTATTTCGACAGAGATGAAAGGGATCAGATGATTCTTAAAATTAATTTAGAATAATTGTATATATTTTAGTTATTAAGAGGCACATGCATGTGTATTTGTGTCGAAAAACCAATAAAAATATTTAGGGGGCACAACTAGTGTGACAGCCTACAAAAACGTTAATTTTTGGGAACTTAAAAAAAAAAACTACGGTATCGATTGCTTTGAAATTTTTAGGGTATATTTATACATGTTTCAAAAATACACAGTGAAATTTTTGAAAAAAAAATTAAATATATTTTAAGTTCTACGAGATCTCCGACGGCGCTAAAAACCAGACTCTACACTACTACAGTGATTCCGACCTTCTCCGTGAATAAAACTTAAAATAAAAAATTCTCGTTAAATTAGAAGATATTCTCCGTACAACTTAAATCCGATCAAAAAAAAAAATCAAAAATAGACAAAAGGCGTTTTTTTTCTAAATTTCACAATAGATGTGCCCCTTAAGAATTTTCTAATTATTATAACACAAAAAAAACCTTAGATGTTCAGCTTTGGAAAGTCAATTGTAATTAGAAATAATTTATTTCTAAGCACCAGTATCGAAAGTAGTAAACTTGCCTAATTCATGAATGAAATCTATATTTCGAGTTTAAAAAGGTTTTCTCTCGTGAGAAATTTAAGTCGAACTAATTTACGAGCTCGTCATTGTCTTAGTTTTGTAAACATTTTCCTTATTAATGTAAGTTTGTTTCTTAGTCGTAGATTTAAAGCGCCAAACCTCGAGAGTGGCGAATCGAACAAACAAATTGCATAATTAAAATATAACTCGCATTAAGGACATTTCTAAACACAATCTAGAATGCTAGGTCTTTCCCAAACTTTGATTTAAACACCTCGGAGCCTGTTAACTGTCGACTCACATAGGTGTATCTTTAAAACCGAAACGTATGCTTGTAGTCTCTCTACCAACTTTTGCTCACAACTCCAGCCGGCTTCGTTTGAGATGTTCTCATCAATATGCATATCTATTAATAAGCATTTTAGTTAATTTAGCTTTTTTCGCATAATAAAATACTTTGAACTAAATTATGAGGAAATAAATTTTAATTTTCGAAAATTAGCTCCAATAATAATATTTATGCAAGATTTGCTAGCCATGCGAAATGACTTAATACCAATTAGTCAAATTTCAGCTAAATTATCTCGCGCTCGCAGCGATCAGCTGTGTGTACCATAATTGAATTGAAATTTGAACAAGAAATTTGCTTGGCATTGAAATAATTTAAAGGAATGACACAATGTTTATATAAATATCAACTAACAGCTATACCCCACCACATACACACATGTGTAGGTGCATATGAATGTGAATCAAAACATTAAAAACTTTGTCGTTGTTGTTGTTAGTCAGAACTAGTTTATTTTGTTTATGTTTGTGTCTTACTATTGCTCAGCGCTAAAAGCAAAAACGAAACAGGTTCGCCACAAGATTACTCGTCAGTGGGTTAGAATTTTGTTGTTTTTGTACTTTTGAATGTATCATAATTTATGTTTGTTAATCTATATCTTTTAGTTTTTTTTTTAATGTTTTCATATTTATCAATTTTTAGTAAAATATTTTTGTATAAAATGTTTTAGGTTTTTTATTTTAGCATTTTATAAAACTTTGCAAAAAGAGTGCCTTCAATATATGCCATCGCAAGTTCTAAAATTGTCAAAATCGAACCATAACTGTTCATGCACCGATATACCAAAAATGTAAATCCCAGTATCCATGGTTGACTTTTTACTGAAATTATCGTTCAATGTATGAAATATATGATTGGAATTCAGGAAGAATCCTGATAATATTATGGGTGCATATCAAAAATGGATTGAATCGGTTCAATACTTCCCTAAGCGCCCTTATACCTAAAAGAAACATTTTCGAACTTCCGGCTGACTTTATACCTCATATATCGGTCAATATGCGAGTTATCTTAATTAAATTGAGTGAGCGTGCTTTTCTCCTAACGGTGCATCTCTGTGCCGAAATTGAATAAAATCGTGTGAAAACTTGCCCTAGCCCCCATATAAATAATGTCAGGATTTTCAAACATCCGATTGACTTTACTTCTTATATACTTATATTGTTGACGGTTATGATGTACCTTAATGAAACTCAGAGAGAATCTGTTTCTCTTAATAATATGTAATCATGACAAAAATAGATACAATTTAATAAAAGATTTTGAAACTGTAAAACGATCAATATGTAAGATATCTTAACAAAATTAACTGAACATATAATATTAGACATATTA